TCCGGCGACATGCGCCTCGTCTATTAGTGCGACGAAAATGACGGATGCGCAAACCTCAATAGAACTTTTGTTCTGAAGACCGTAAGCCCTTTGAGTCAAGCTTTATATTGCGCTGTTCTCGTGGTGCCGAAAAGCCTGTCAGTGTGCAGTTTCCATCATGAATGAACCAGATGTTGCTGGTGTTGAACCCCATGGCATGTCGCGTTCCAAACACCCGGGATCGACAAACAAGTCCGACGTTGCCAAGCCCGCGGAGCGAGCCATGGGACAGGTCAGCCCAGTCTGTAACCGCCCGGAGGGAGTCGCAAACGTTTACTTCACACTCAGTTGACACATCTACAGCAAAGAGCCCGGGCTTGGGACCCGTCAGACGTTTTAAACTCTACGGCCCAGGGCCCAAGAGGCGGATCTGTCGCACGTCATCAACTGACGGCACGGGGACGTGGAGACGTGGGACCCATCACACGGCTGGCCAAGACGTGGGGCTCACCACACGGCTCCGTCCCTGCCACCAGTGTCTGGTGCCATCGAAACGACATGACATGGCGGCAACATGCGTCGCAGATTCGGGCGATCGTAAATCTCCCACGTGATACCTTATCGGCCTCCTCAGATACCAAGGAACGAGTGCTAGACCACTGCTTTCAAGACCTCGACGCGACAAGGCGCATGCGGTTTGGGAAGTCCAATAGGCACGTGCGCAAGCAGCTCGGCGGTGTTTCCGAGACACCTCATGGAACCAGTTCACTGACAAGCGACAAACCTCTACGCTCCTCATACGACCACCAAACGTGGCACAGTGCCAAGCCTTCGTGAGCCGGTGACGACGCACGACACAGTGAGCGTCAGCTGAAATTATCGTCAGCTATCGACAGCCGTACCACCGCCGTCGATAATTCGCTCCACGCATCAGCTGCGACGAAATGAATTGGCCACCGTTGCATCAGGGCGTTGAAGCGCTCCAGTGACTGCATCTAATAACTGGGGGGAAACGTCCTGTTTCATGTAATTGGACGGCACGGAGCACCCGGTTGCGTCCTGGAAACAATCGTCACAGCCAGTTCGGCGCCGGCTAGTTGCGTCACCCCGTCATGGTACCGGGTCTGGGCTACGCCCTGCACTTCGCCGTCCGAGCCCCGCCGCACGGAGCACGCTAGCTACCGGCGTGACGTCATACTTACGTCACCGGTGTTTATTTAATGGCGATATCAATAGCGCTACTCGCTACGCGGCTTATACATAATGTCCTTCACAACAGGTTTGATAGCACCGGTGAAAACTGCATCAGCGACAAGAGCGCTAATGTTTAACGCTTCGGCTATCACGTCGGCTGAATTCTGCACGACTCTAGCTACCGCGTAAGCTTATAGCAACAAATAGCGCCTACGCTTTTGTCAAAATAACCAATTTCACACCGGAATTCGTTCATATTACAGCGACACCCGCAATGTCATCACGATCGTAGATGCGCAAAAGGACTTCTCCCAAATGCGTCGCACAATGAGAGCTCTGATCAAATACTGATCCCTGACGCCGGCAACCAAACCCGTATTTTTTGTCCGCAGACAACTAAGTCGATTCTCTGAGCCTACGCACCGATTATCGGGAATATTTACCGATTTTTGTGCGGCAAGCGATGCTCAGAGTTGGTGCGCGATTCTAAGCGCTGGTGAACGACCAAATCCACTGACGTTATCGGGCCTCTTATCCCCCGCGGCCGGGCTGTGCTAGGCGCCAACATGAACACCCTGGTGCTAAAATGGTACTCTCTCGGTGCCTGCACCTCCCCTGTAATGTTGACTTCTAAGAAGCGTGAGAGAACACCGCCCTCCAGCCTCTCGTTCTCGCTGGCAATGGTGTTAATATTGCAAGATGCAAGGGCTTGCTCTCCGTGCGCATAGGCCCATACCCCGCACTGGTCTGATACCATCTGACCTTCAGCACGTCCGAGCGCTCTGAAACACGAATATAAAACAGGGACACAGCCACCAGGGCCGGTTCCGGGCGGCGGAGTGGTGGGACGCCGCCCTGCGCAGCACCCGGTCTGCCGATAACCGCACCTAACCGTCAGGACTGGCGGAAAGGCGGTACAAGTAACGCCAAAGTTCTGGCAAGATCACCGTCAGTCCGTGGGACCGCGGCTGAACAGAGCGGGCGGCATGGGCTGCCGCTAGTCGTCAATCCATGGGACCGCTGCCAAACCGAGCTGACGGCGGGAGCTGCCTCTGCACTGTCTGGGACTGAGAGGACATGTGGGCACCGCTACAGCCTGAACGTTATACCCTGGAGCGCGCTCCGTTAGCGCGGACTTATCAGGCATCATCCGCTCTTGCCTCTGGTTCGGTGGTCGCTGCCGTTCGCCGCCCGCTCGCCCGCTCGCGTTTCGTCTCGCGCCGGCCGCTCCGCGCATGTAGGTCTCCGCTCCGATACCGTCCCTGTCCCCGCGAGCGCCAGGGGTTTACGGGCCGCCAGCTGACCCGCTGACCCGAACCGCTAGGGTCAGCGGCGGGCTGAATACGCAGGGCGGTGATCTGCATTCTGATGGCCGACGCACGCGCCGGATCGGCGGCGCCTCGCCGTCGGCCGGAACGCCTCGGCCGCACGACGCAGAACAATAGCCGAGCCGGGGATCTTGTTCCGATCTTAATGGTCGTTTGGGCCGCTTGGCAGCCCGCGTGATTGGCTTAGATACGACGGTGATGAGTGAAGACTGTCGCCGCCCAAGGGCGTGGCTGCAAATGGATGTCAGCCTCAAATAATATGGCAAAAGAAGAGCCAGGATAGGCTCCGCCAGCTCAAAAGGCCGCTCTCACATAGCATGCTGACGAGTGGCCTTCGCTTATCTATCTGGGCGAAGGTCGGTACAACCTGAGCAACAAGCAACAAACGCACAAACACAGCATATCGATCACACGCATCGAACAGCCCACGCCCGCCCGTGCACGCCGCGCCGCCGGCGGCTGCCGACCACAGCTGACGGCGCCTCGGGAGCTGACGGCGGCACGTGGCGCCGGCAGCTGGCGCCGGGACCGGTTTGAGGTCTGGTCGGCGTGCAGGTGATGGGCCGCCCGGCTTTGTCAGGGGTCGTGCGGCAGGCCTGGCTGCAGCTGCCACGCGGACAAGGGAAGGGGAGAGCGGACTTACAGCGGTCGGCGGAAAGCCGGCGAGCGCTGGAAACCCCCTTCCCACTTAATTGGAAGCGGTGATGGTGACGATTGGTGGATAAGGGCGCTTCCGCTGTTAAGGCAATTTTGTGCACTTTGAACGGAAACGAAAAAGACTGTCGATGAGATAATGTTCAAAAATGTTGGCAGTTGCGTGGCGTAACGCAAGCTGTGTGGCAACCGTGCCACATCGTAAAAATAATTAGCGCAACTGGTCTCCTGTGGCCAGAATGGCACACCCAAGTGGCGCACATGCGTGTTCAGCGTGATTGACGGGATGAATGAGCTGTCATCGATGAGTCAGCTGATCAATCATTCAACACGAACCTCAGTTCATCGGAACCAGAAGGGTGTGGGGTGGTCGACCCGGGGCCACGCCGGCGGGGGTCATGGAGCGTGCCAAGGGGTGGGAGCGGGCGGTGGGCGGTCCGACCCCTGCGGCCAGCCGCTCCCAGCGGGGCGGCGGCCCGCTGGTCGGACCGTGAACTGGTCCAAGGCCGGTGCAGCCCGCCCGGCGGCGCGCCCAGTACGAGTCCGCCGGCGGCCGGCACGCTCCGGCGGGGACTGGCCGCGTGCGTCGGCCCCTGCCGCGGTGTGCCGGCCGCGGCGGTGTCGCAACCGCGACCGGTCAGCACCCGCCGGCCGGCCGAGACCCGTCAGAGGCCAGCATGCAGCTGCACCTGTCAACAGCCACCGACCAGCTGGACCTGTCAACAGCCGCCGGCAGACCAGACCTGCCAATAGCTGTCGACCGGCCGGACCTGTCAGCAGCCGCCAACGGACCGGACCTGCCAGCTCACCGACTGCCTGGTCACGAAACAGAGGACCGCCTTCCGACCCATCATTGGCACCTGAATGAACGCCTTGCTGGACTCGCCATCGATCGCTCAGGAATCAGCTGCCAACTCGTCCGGATCAACCAACGACCTGTCCACAGTCCGCACCGCCGGCAGCGCGACCTGCCAGCGTCCAGCACACGCGCAGTCTACCCCGTCCCGGCGGCCTCGCTGCGCACCAGCGGCGGCCCATCTGTTCCCGCTGCGGGGATCCCCGCTCGAGCCATGTCTGCCCCGTTGTCACGCGCCAGCCTGTGTGGGTGATGGCGACCGGCCTGGTCTGAGTGGCATTGCATGATTGAATCGCTATCCCATGCGGGTCGGTGAAGGCGACCGGCTCGGTCTGAGTGGCATTGCATGATTGAATCGCTATCCCATGCGGCTTCTGAGCCGAGCTTTCTTGCGCCGATCTGAAGTGCTGTTGTTTTGACGCATGCCGGTCAGGCACGCATGTTGATCACACACGAGCCATTCGTGAAGGACTCAGTAGGTCACCCTGCACCCACGCAGTTCATAAAGGCAGTGCTTTTTACGCAATGATAGGACCCGCAATGGTGGCGATAACAGGTCAAGGACCAAAGATTTACACGATCGCCAGGTGTTGTCTTTCAGAACAGACTAACGGGTATCTAGAAGGATTCAAATTTTCAGGCACCCTTTCTGAAAAATTCACCAGTGCGCTTCTTGGTGGCAATAATTGTAGGCTTAAGTTGTCCCATCAGCTGCCGACCCGTCCACACCAGCTGCTGACTCGTCCACACCAGCTGCCGACTCGTCCACATCAGCTGCCGACCCGTTCACATCAGCCGCTGACCTGTCAGCACTTCGTGCCGCCAGCTGCGCGATCAGCCAACTCCCAGCAGGGAGTCCGTCCCGCACCGGTGGCGGAAGGCCAGGGGCCGTCGCGCACGAGGTACGTCCCATCTCCGTCCGCTGCGGGAGGCTTGAGCGGTTCATGCCCGTTCCCGAGCGGCAAATCAGCCAGCACGCGTGGAGCAGACCGGCCCCGTCTGTGTCACACTGCGGGCTCGAATTGATATTCCATGCTGCCGCAGGTCCGGGCTTTCTTCTGTCGATTTAAAGCACCATTATTTTGATGTATGTCGTCGTTTGACGTATGCGTGCCACCCATCAGGAATCCTTTTGTGCATCGCGATTCATCCTCGTACTTCATAATCGCGGCACTTTTTGCGTACTTGTCAGATCTGCAATGGTGGCGATAGTAGGTCAAGGATCCGACGTTCGTGTAATGATCGTCTTTATCCATCCAGAAGTGTTGAAGAGCAGTTAGTCATGCATTTCTCGGTATCTGTTACATGAATTTTTCTTTAAACACTTCTTGCTTCCGTTGATGAAGATTCGGTAGCAGCTCTCGGAACGTTGTGAGACGTTTTGGATCGAATGTGTTTGGTCACAGAATTATGGATCTGTGAAGCCCATCGAATGCGTCTAGTTTCGTTTAATCTCTTACCAATATCTGCAAACATGCCTCCTGCATGTGCAACATTCGCTTCAACCGTACATCAATGCATTTAACAATCAGCATGCACATAGGTACTGTAGTCATTCCTTCATTTTATGTGCGTAAAATGAACGGCAAAATATAAGGAATTCGTGTCCATAACGTGCCATGGAGAATGTGTTTTCTGTTGAAGGTGTAGTTGCAAGCCGGGCGTGTCACGATCACGCCTGGGGCAATGGCAGCGATCGCGGATCACAAGCTGTGGATCTGTGAATGCAAACCTGGAGGCGCGGCAGCCTTCCCACAAATGAGGTTCAGCGGCGGCCCCAGGCGACAAGTCCTTATTAGCAGGCAGGCGACCTTAACCATAGGCTGCGCTAAAACGCGCTTACGAAACTGAGCGGCGGCGATTTCCAAACGGACTGGAAGTCGATCCAGCTCGTCGGCGTGCGGCTCATACCGAGACGTGCCCTAGGAACCAGGTCAAGGACGCGTGACGGCGCTCTCTGGGTCACGCTGGCTCCGGCGTCGTGACACCACCAGGTGCCGTTCAGTGCAGCCACCGGCCAGCGCCATGGACAATCGCCCGGCTCGACACGGCCCTGCACGAGCAGACCGCACCGTCACCGCTTGGCTCAGGACCGCCGCGGTGCCTACGGAGCGACGAGGATGGGTCCGCAGCGGCAGGTGCGAACTGCCAGCTGACCGGTGCAGGTCCACCGTCCGGGCCGAGAAGACCGGTGTGGGCCCACCGTCCGGGTCGAGAAGACCGGTGCAGGCCCACCGTCCGGGCCGAGAAGACCGGTGCGGGCCCACCGTCCGGGCCGAGAAGACCGGTGCAGGCCCACCGTCCGGACCGAGAAGACCGGTGCGAGCCCACCGTCCGGGCCGAGAAGACCGGTGCAGGCCCACCGTCCGGGCCGAGAATACCGGCGCAGGTCCGCCGTCCGGGCTGAGAAGACCAGTACAAATCCGCCGTCCTAGCAGCAGTTGCCACGCGGCAGCTCGGCCCCGTCGTGCTGACTCCGCTCAGAGTTCATGTGCGCCGTCACGCCCGCGGCGGGTCACGTGACGCGGCGCTGACGTCACCGGCGGACAAAGGCGCGGCGGACCGTAACGGGCCGATCAGCTGGGCGGCCCCGCCCGGCGCCGGCCCGTCCGCCCGCCGTCCGACATGTGCGTGGACACCACCGGCGGATCCCCGATCCAACGCGAACCTTCAAAACGGGATCCAGATTCCAAAGTTTGGGAATCCAGGCGCGCGCCGGGTTGTCCGAGCCACCCGCCCTCAGATGCGGATCCGGCTCGGCACCGCAGGACCGGGTGGGGGAGCGGCCCGAGCCACCCTCGCGGACAAAGCGCACTTCAGAGCGGCGGGCTGGTCCGGAGAGGGCCGGACAGCGGTGCTGGATCACTGAATAATGCAGCCATCCGCGTGACCCGCGAGGGCAGTGGTTAGCGGACCGCCCGCCGGACCGGAACTGGCGCGGCGGGCAGAACTGGGCCGGAGGGACGGCGTCTCTTGTGGAGGTGCCAGATAACGGTGCATCGCCCCGGAAATGGGGAGGAAGGGGACTGGCCGGGTTGTCAAGCCTGGCAGCACTTCGTGGGCCAACAACCTTGAAGAGTCATTCGTGGAAATGGATGCGATGTCTTGGTATCCATCATTCAAGTTTAGGGAGTGCCGCCTGTATACGACGCCGGTCATGCGGTCAGTTATCCCAATCGAGATGCATAACATGCCATCTGCGAGAGACCAGCGGCTTGTGGTTCTGTCTTAAAGAAGCGCTTGCTTCGCCACGAATTATCTCATTGATCAATGTTCTCCACCTAAAATGCTTGACTGCAAGCGTACACAAGCCACGTCTTCTGTTTTACTATGTCAGCTTGTTTTTGGTGCCATGTTATACGGCCAAAATACGATAATAGTCCAATTTGCCCGAAACGTTACTGAGGTCCGGATCCCATGCACCCCATTGGTGGTCACGCTCATGACAGCAAGAGTCGCTACCATTCCAGTCAAGATCAATCAGACAAAGAGGCTGATGGAAAAGTTGACGGAGGTCCGGAAGTCGGCAACGCAGCCGGATAGCGTCAGCAGACCCACCTGCGTCTCCCAGCGAGCCAAATAAGCCGGAGGGCGCGCCCTCATCCCGGCTCAGACCCGGGCAAGACGAACCCGAGGCTATGACTGAGCACGGCAGCGGACGGGGGGGGGGGGGGGGGGGGGGGGAGGCACCAGCCGGCTGATTTATGTGCTTGGCGGTCATAAACCGTGGCCAGCGGCTCAGGACCGCCGAGCACGCATCTGGGGTCTGGCGCAACGGTAGCCCCGGCAACCGAGACACGCGCGCACGCAGCACTGCCGCAACAACCGCTCCGCTGTGAGCCCCTGTAAAGAGTCTTGCCCACACCAATTACAATAGTTCTATGGTTCAAAACCGCACTGGCAATGCTCCTCTGAACTCAGGAGTGCGTCGCTGCAGACTGCGTCACATACCTGCGGCTGAGCGGGAACTGCCGATCGAACGACGACAGCTCTGTCTTGCTGTGTCGCATCGCCAGGCGGTCAAACAGCGTCAGCACCGCCTGGCCGGGCGAGGTGTTCTCCTTCTCGCGCTCCGAGCTGCGCTGGCGCTGGCGGGCGGCGCTGCTGTCGGACCGGCGCCCGGCCAGCGTCAGGCTCGGACGCTCGCCGCTAGAGAACTTGTCGTACACGGTGCCGAAGTCTGTGAAGCGCTCGAACGCCGTCTGCGGGCAGCGCTCGTTGTCGTCGGCGTATAGCTCGGGCTGCTCGTGGTCGGCGCTGACGACGCAGTAGCGCGTGCCGAGCCCGAGCGACGACAGCACAGCTTCCATGGTGCGGGACGTGCGGCTGCGGTTGTCCACCCCTGCAAGGACGCGCGCGGACTGGCCAGGCGCCTGGCGACCTCCACCCACTCACCTGGCGCACCGCTGACATCTGTCGGCCGTGATCAGAACGAGACGCACGGGCGATCAGCTGGCGCACCGCCTGACATCTGTGGACCGCAATCGGAACTGAACGCAGCGGACATGCCTGACCTAACGCCTCCCATCTGTTGACAGTAATTATAACTAGGCACCCCTCATGCACATTGCGGCACCTGTTGGCTGTGATGAGAACTAGACGCGCGGGTTCTCGACCAGCTTCACCTGACATCTATCGTGCATCACTGATAATACGGTGAGCACGTCATATTTACCTCCATTTTCATTGCCTGGAAGTCTGGCAGCAATAACCAACCCTGGAATATTCAGCACATTGTCATCGCAGGACGTCATTTCACCAAGCATCTGTTGCACATTGGATAGAACCGAGCGGCTTAAGCGGTAGCCGAAACGTTCACTGCCAGCCGACCGCCATTTAATTGCGCAGTCAGCCTGGAAGGGATCAGGAGTCCACAGCGAGGGATCATGCGTGACAGAAGAGCTGATTCACTGCGTGACAGGCATGTGTGTCGACGTACCAAAACTGCGCCAACTGGCAAATGACACCGCACATTTTCAGCGCTCATAGCTGGAAAAGCTTGTACAGCACGCAACGACGTAAGCTGTTCAGTCGCTCTTCTCAAGGACCACGTTCCTGATAGTTCCAGCCACAGTTCAAGAAGCCCCACGCCTCGGCGGGTGGAGTGCTGGACAGTGGACATTTGACCGATGTGTAGAAGGGAAGTGCGTACGCGGAAGGAAACCACGCAGTTGCCTGTCGCGGGGAGCTGGAAAAACTCTGGAAACGTGGCCCGTTGACCTGGGAATTTCCTGCTTCTTTGGTGAGGTTAGGTCATTTTCAACAACCTAATTTGATTGTGAAGGGCCAGTGAAGCATTTTTCTGGAGATATACGTGCAGAAGGTTTCACAAAATTTCCGTCTGGCTACCGCAACATCAACATTGACGTATCCAGCAAGTGCCGAGACGCAGGGGTGACAAACCGTCGCATAGCAACCAACTGGTGGCTACACAGGGGTGCTGCCAGCAGCCCGCACAGTCTGGCGCCGGCATGGAGCTGCTGGAGAAGCGATGCAGCCTTCGTTGCGGCGGCATTGGATCAGCGCTGACGGTGTGGCGGCGCCCGGACCTGCCGGCGCCGCCGTGGCCTACTGACCGTGAGCTAGATGCTCCGCGGTCGCACCGTGGCCCCACAGTGCAGTGACAGCGGCGCCGTTGCCTTTGGTAACGTTCAAAGTGATACGCGAACGTCGGACCGATGATGTGAGGGTTTCATCTTTTGTGTTAACGTGGCTGGGCGCTACAGACGATTAGCACATCCGAGTGGCTGCTGGGTAACGCCACCTGGCGGTCGCGAGGTGGCGCAGTCGGCGCGATGACGGTGTCTCTGCGGTAACGCGGGACTATGAGTTGGTTTCGAGATGTTCTTCAGAACACGCTCCTCTGTCTTGTAGTAATCAAACATTTCATTCTGGGCGAAGGGTCTGATTCGATTTTATACGCGCAGGACGCGGTCAGTTTTTGGATCATATCACGGCATGAAGCTACTGATAACATTGTCGAAGGTGTTGGAAAAGCTTTGATTCACGGGATTCATTCGATGCATTGTAGCTCGCCGTGTAGCTGGGGGGCATCAGAACGAAGCTTGAAAGCGCTTCAGACGAAGGAGCACACTTGACTGGTCTCGCACCGCTCTGGACACTAGCGCGTGGCGCTGAGGCGCAGTCCTGCATCTGTTGGCACTTTGGGCATCGTTTTTACCAATTGTTCTTTATTGCGCGTGATGCCTGCGTTCCGGAAGGAAATGGAATTGCTCAAATTATTTTGGGAGGTCAACCTGAATCTTACATCTGATCTATATATGACCTTCCACATCGCCTATATTTGATGTCATCTTGAACTTGCCTCGCATCTTGCATCACAATGTCTTATTTCATATCCTATTTCGCTAGTGCCTTACCTTATTCTTGTCTCATATATATATATATATATATATATATATATATATATATATATATGCTTATACATATTAGCTCACAACGTATTCGTCTTATTTTTCCAGCAAGGTATACTTGCTTACACATGCATTACGTTATGGCACATTCTTTGCCGTATGAATTATCACGTCTCAAGACAGTTTGGCAATGAAGTTTAACCTGGTTATACAAAATTATTGTCACGCAACCATATCTCCGTAATTTGCATGTTGATCGTTCGTTCAAAAAGGAACGATTGATGGAGCTGAAACACCAGCGCAGCCAATAGATGACAGACATCGACGGATTACTTTTTATATGAATAATCAACCTCCGTAGAAAACACCAAAACCTAACGGAAGAACTGTGAAAAAGGCACACTGGGTGCTTACATACTCTTGCCAACCGCCATTATAATTTCCTGATCGTTCTGGAAGAATACAAGAAAGCCTGTTGCGTGATCCCGATCTCTTGGACAGACGTTTCGATTCGAAGACCGCACTTCGAAAGCAGTTGATCAAACTACTGCAAGGAGTGTCACATACTAACTTTTTAGCTTTTGGGACTGCATCTGATGAAATTGAGGATGCGCCAGCTTTGCCAAATTTGTAAGATATTGAAATTCGGTGAATATCAGCAGCCTGCCATCCAAATAAAACGAAATACCATCTTTCGTATGGATTGATCATTTATGTCACAACCGAAGACATCACGCAACCCTGTCAAAGTTTTCATAATGTCGAGGTTTTCACAATGCGACCACGGCCCACACGTCTGCCGTTTAGCTCCATGTGGTTATCCCAGCCTTGCTGAACACTGCGAGCACCACCAGTCACCCCCGCCATCAACGCACACCACAAATCCCGCCAATCGCAGCCAGACGCCCAGAAGGAAGATCAGAGCGAACTGTCGACCTGCAAACAGCATGTCCACAAGTAAAACGGCGACCTCACCCTCAGTCCTCCCGCGCCCAGAACCGGACAACAAGCGCACAAAGATCCCATGAGTCCGCGCCTGGCCCTTACCGGCAAAACAGCGCAGCTCTCAACGCATGACGAGCGCCGAATGACGCGGCAGAACTGAATTTGCCGGGCAAGCCTTAATCAGCCGACATTGATCGAGCAGTGATCAGCCTTCTGGTGACGACCGAACTCTGTAAGCTGTTTACTGAGCCCAGCGTTCCATCCGTGCACTCAGCCGAGTCCAAACATGGTCGGTCGCTCCACAACACGAGTCGAGTCAGGCTGGCAGCCCGCGCTCCCTCCCTCCCTCTGCATGACGAGTAGAGATGGCGTCTACTCGTAACGAGCGGGGTCACCGTGTTCTACGAGATATGTCCATGAGTCTGCATGTTGCCCACATCATGAGTGCGGGTGTGGGTGTGGGGGGGGGGGGGGAGAATCGGCCTGCGTTCGGTCTGCGCCAGTGGCAGGGCTGGTCCACAGGTTCACACCCCGTTCGCGTCGCCGGACGAGCTGCAGCCGGCGCCCGCATCTCGCCCCCATCCCGAGCAGACCCCGCTCCGGGCGCGCGTTCGCCGGCATCACGCGTAGAGCCGGGCACGGCTGATGACGACGGTGGCGCGGCCGGCGCTGGCCGGCTCGGTGCTCTGCACCAGCCGAAACCAGCGGCACAGGTGCGGGTACGCCTCGCGCTCCTGGTGGGACAGACGGGCCTGCCGGCAGCGAGGCGTCACACTAGGCCGTTAGTCAACCACCGAGCCAAGGTGCTAGGGTTCGGTACTTGTTCATTGCTATGCTAATGTAGACTCTGTGTTTGAAGTCTTGGTGTTATGTGCCTGAGGCCAATACTACAAGTTCATGTTTTGTTGTGACCTGTGATCATACATAGCTTGGTATGTCTTTAAATTTATAAATCAGTGCATCACATGCTGGTTGTAGGTTAAACATGTGTGTGTATAACTGCATGCTTATCACCAATTGCATCTGAGGCATGTTTGCAATAAAACATTAAGATCATCATTTCTGAAAAATGTGTTCTTTACTTAACCTAACAGTTACTTATGATGTCTAAAAGCAAACACACAGTGTCAATCACAAGATTTCATGACACCACACCACTTGTTGTCATCTTATCTCTCTACTATATCCTGTTTGGAATACCAAGGTTGTCAGATCTGTCTATGCAACAATGAAGACATCCAAATGTTCTACATTGGCAAGGGAGAGTAGGGGGTATGGACAAAAGGGACATTCAGAACCTGCATTTTTTAGACTGTGAACATTCTTCAAATTCACATTTGATGTTGCAATCTGGGAAGAGTGGCAGCAATATGGATGGTAATAGAGGATAAAAATTAAGCTCAATGAGTAAATGTTCTTTTATTGAAAAGGGTGTCAGTAGCTTAGAGATCCCAGTGTTCCATCCCAGATTAATCCACTGCTAATCAAGATCACAAAGAATGGATAAAGCACACTCAACTTTGCTGACCCGTGTCCAGTAGAGTTCATCAGGGCGCACATATTTGCCAGAGAAAACTTTGCAAACAGAATCGTGTTTAACTAATACCCCAACACCTTCAAACAAAATATGGATGACAGCAGACTTACCATGGCAGGATGAATAAGTCTGAAGATATCTGAGTCAATGGATGTGGCTTCAGTTCCGACCAAGTATGTTTTATCACACAGCCAATGATCCACATGCTGGAAATTCAGATAGCATTTGTATGGTTAACCTTAAAATTAGGTTTATCAAGGGCACATTGTGAACAATATCCTACTGTACTATACAGTTGTTGAAAGCATACCATCATATGTAAAGAACATAGCTATACTTTAATGCAGATTGATTAAATAATCATGGAGCACATTACAGTGAAGGCAACAGCATACACACTGAAACATGACAAACACATGCAAGGTCACTTTCTCAGCCACTCATCTCAACTACTGAAACAAAAACAACAACAGTGCAGAGGCAAATGGAGTTCATGACCTTAAACTAAAACAAGTTATCTCCTGAGTCCTCCCAGATAATTTCTTATAGTTGCCAAAGAATATCCACTTCCAAAAGATCTTTACACCCTGATTTTGACACAAACACACACAGACAATAGCAATTTACAAAAACAACGTGCCAGCAGCTGGAGAACTACAAACCTTCAATGCCATTGTCACTGGAGCAGAGGCATTCCTCAAATAGAGTTCAGAGAACTCGCGCCACTGCCATTTATCTGCACTATGCGAATCTTTGGTCATATTTCCGAACTAAGCTGCGCTGACCAAAAAGGCGCGATGAGTGACAGTAAATGGCAGAAGAGATTTACTGCAACGTGGACAAAGTGCCACCGCCCAAAAGATCTCACCCACTCACGCACCGCTTTTAACAACGCTATATGCTCTCCAACGCATACAACACAGCGCCGATTTGCTGTGTGCCATTCATGGCGCAGAAAAGACGAGGGAGGTTAGTTTAACATTCGCTCTATGTTCAGCTCGCTAACGTAAGCATGCTAACCGCATGAACTTGCGGCACCGTAAAGTAAGCTTATCCAATGATGTAACATGAAAGCAGAAGCAGTAGGGCTCGGACATACTGACGTAGCAGCAGCTCGCGTTTTGATTCGCTTCTGTGTGCTTCTGTGTGCTCAGTTCAGTGTTCGCAGCGCATATTGAACAAAATATAGTAGTGAGCTGAGAATCAAAACCAGCGTTTGCTTCTCAGCTGTGATCACTTCGCGAGCGCGCTCAAAGAGCTCATCTGGGGGTTGAGTGTAGCCGGGGCCGGGTGTCAGTGCATAGGGATCCGGTTGCGAGCGTTTGCTGTGCTTTTGGTAAGCGACTTACTGCAACTGTGAGTTGTGAACGAAGTGGAGGTGTTTTCGCATCAGTCCTCTGTCGTCTTGCGGGAGAGCGGGTGGTGTGACATTACGGCGTGATACTGTCGGTTCAGTTCACAATCTACTCACATAGGTGGGGGCGGGATTGATGGGCGTAACGGAAAAACAACGAGGGAGGAAAGTTTTGAACAGCATTGTATTATACTTAGGCTTGGTTGCAAGGTCATGCTGAAATATTGTCCACAAAAACAGTTATTTTATACTACCCTTTTGGTACCCATCCATGAGCTTTGCCGGTGTGCACGGAGCCTGGTGACAGAATGCTTAATATTTAGCTGTAACAGCAGCATTGACTGAATGGTGTTGCATGACACTGAGTTGATATGTAATGCTGGCTACCAAACCAGGTTCTTGTAAATCATGCATTTATATTGTTCAAAACAATGGGACATCATGACTTGCATGCTTTTTATCCCTAGGAAACACAGTGGTGATGGAACTTAAAAGTAATGAAGGGTTTCATAAATTTGAATACAAAAGACAAGCTCTATTCAGGGCCTTGGCAAGGAGATTGAACATATCCTTTACAAATATTGTAGCCAGAGGCACTGATGCCTTAAGTCATGACATTTAGGAGAATATCCTTGGTTTTCTCCTCCAAATGTGTAATGAGGCAGGGACTTAATATTAAGTATGTCAGTGGATTAGTCACCCTCATGGCAGTGTGAACAGTGCAGGTGTAGTAAGGAGAATATGGTACAAAATTATGTCTGCAATGCTGTTTCCTGAGTTTTCAATGGTATTATGGCTTTAAGCTTTCTGAATGTATGCATAATTTGTGAGATCCCAAAAATGTTTTTAACAATTGTTGGGTGAACAGAAGATGTCATCAGGGACTAAGCTGTAGGGTAGGGCTGCCTTAGGAAGGGTGGTATCAGATATAAGGTATATGCCATCTTAAAACATTGTGCACAGTGTGATGCCTGCTGGTTTGCCATCTGATCATTGCTAATGCTTTGAGCCATGTCACCTCTACTTGATCTGTCCTCTTGACAGTTGTATCCATGACTGCATGTTGTGTGCCTTTTTACATCAGTAGTCACCATTGCTAGTGAGTTGACAGACATATCTGATTTGTGGTATATACATAGGGCATACATGCAGAGATGGTATATACATAGGGTATACATGCAGAGGTGCACACAAGTTATGGCTCATGGGCCTTTGCTGTCTTCATAGCAAACAGTGAGGGGCCCTTAAGTTTCTTAAAAAACAAAGTGGTCATTGGAAGGATGCATGTTTGCACATTACTGAGACTGGCCTCAGCCCAACCAAAATGTACCATGAGAACACCAGTCATGGCTTCCAGATGTGCATCACTTAAAGCCAAGCCAACCCTGATAACAGCAATGTATTTTTCAGGTTTGCTGCCTGTGCCAAGTGAAGAATCCACATAACCAGCAAACATGTCGGAAAAGTGAGTACCAGAGGACATTGATGTATCCAGAATGGTTGAGAAACACAAGTATGGGTTACAGATGAAAACATTGAGCAGATTGGGAATGCTTTTGCTTCAGTTCTGCCCATTCTTTGCCCACACTGCCTAGCTAGTGCCTTTGTCCTAGGTACCTTTGCCTTAGCTAACCACCTCTGTGCATGGAGGAAGCTGGTAGCTCCCAACCAAATGGGCCGTCCTGTCTATCAGGACCTGCCGGCATGGTGGCTCTGGCAATCTCTACACTCTCCCCCATCTGGACACGTGAGCAATCCGTCTCGCGCTCCACCCACGTTGCGAGTGGCCCCATTCTCCTGTTTTTCCTCGTGTCAGCTGAACGGTGCCTGACACCCCCGTTCCCGCTCCCTGACGCTCCCGCTCCGTCCTCCGCCAGCCGATGACAGCCTTCGGGTAGCGAACGTGACCCGTTTCTTCCTCTTCTGCCTGACGACAGCCGTCAGACAGCGAATGTGACCTGCTTCCTCCTGTCCTGCCCGATGCCGACCGACCTGCGGTAGCCTTTCCCTGCCCTCCTCCCCCGCGCGCTGCCCAGGCCGCGAGTCCGACCCGCTCGCTGGAATTCGGGGCGAGGCGGGCCGCCCGCCCGAGAAAGCGCGCCGGCCGGCCCGAGGCCAGGCAAAAACGACGCCCCCTGTCGCCGCCCGGCAATCGGTGGCCGACCGCGCCGCCCCGGTGGCGCTCTGGGCGGAAATCTGCATGTTGTAGCGGAGCGACATTGTGGTATTTGTATGCGCTCTTCCTTGCTGCCACGATAGTAAGTTCTTTGTACACTACGTGAATGTGTGATGTTAGTTCAGCTCTCATGTGTTGAGACACGACAAGAAGACATTGAGACAAGCTAGGTGAAAGCCGCAATATTGTTCTTCACGTCCACTTCAGATCCGAAAGAGACGCCCGGATGAGGCCATGAACCGTGAATTGTCCGGGCACGAATGGGTTATGAACCGCACACGGTGAGGTTCTGTCCGATTGTGCCAGGATGACCTTATGGGAACGGGACTAGCCCTGACGCACACTGTCATCGGAATACCGGAGGAGGCCAGCCGGCGCGTGCAGTCTGTCACCTGCCGCCTGGTCCCGAATGTGTGGCCGACTGCGGAGGAAAGCCGGCCTCTGCGCCGCGTGTTACACATTTATCACCGTCGGCATTAGTCCGACTCCGGTCCCGCCGTCTCCGTTTCCTTTCACGGTGGTCGGGCCTGGTCTCTTTCCCTCGACCCGGGCGGGCAAAAACTGCTGGTGCGCCGCGGGCCGCCGCAGTCGGGTCCCGCAAGAAAGGCTCCTGTCAGGTCGTGTCCGTGCGGACCACCGCACAGGCATCTGAACCCGCTGCCTGCCGGGCTGACAACGGCCGATTGCCGCAGCCCCGGGGCCGGCGCCGCGTGTGTGGAATAGCTGCTCACTCATGGCCGGAATAACTGCAGTGGTTCGCTCCGCGGGTAATGACTACAGTGGTTGGTTCAGTGGCATCGGGCCGTCAGGTTCGATCCGCGGAGCCGGCGGCCTGACCGGGCGGGCACCTGTCCCGCCGCTTTCGCGGCAGCCCGGTCGCGGCTCCGCTGGTCGCTCCGAGTTCTTCGGCCGTCCCGCCACGACACTGCGCCCGGTGGTGCAGCGGTCCAGCCGGTCCCTTGTTCCGGATCGTCACGACTTGCTGGTGACGAGCATCTTAGACTGTGTGTTTTGTAGCGTTTTGCTGGTGGCGTCAGTTCTGGCGCTTTGCAGTTTTTACGGGCCCGTGAGATGCACACGCTAGGCTGGCGTCTTTGTGACGGTTTGGAGAGAAGGCGACGTTATTTCACACCTAGCGTTGATCCATCATGTCATCGTCAATAATTGCAGGCTGTACTCTCGACATTATGCGCCAGTGTCACGATCCAAGGCGTTTTCGTTATTGATGCCTCGCCCTTGCGCAAACCTCTTTGGTCGGCATAGGAAACCGGGGACGCTGTGCGTCATGTTGACGGTCCGACGGCGGCGCCTGTTATTGGCCACTGTCCCCTGTTGCGTGACCCCGAAGCAATGGCCAACCGAGCGCGGTGCAGCGTAGTCGGTTATGGATCGGGGCCGTTCCCTGCGGGCCGTGCACCGCTCGGTCGAAGGAAGTCGACACCGGCCCCTGACGGACGCCCCCGGCCGTGGTGTAGTGTGTGGACGGTCAGGGCTGCAGCGGGGGGTCTCTGGATCAGCTGATCCAGTATCGTAGCCGTCCGGCGCGCACGGCGCGCGAGGAGGTGCGCTGGGCGGCCCCACTGGTGCCAGCTCACCCCCGGTACCACACGTGCAGTGCCTAGTGGTGCCAGCCTGGCCCTCTCCCCGGCGAGGAGTTCCGGCAGCTCGCTGCTCGCTCCAGTCTGCCCAGACGGCCAGCCCCCGGTGGTGCCGGCTCGTCCCTCGGGTCAGTTCCTGCTTGCCCCAGCCTGAGCCGCTCTGTGTGCCGCGCCGCCCTCATCAGTCCGTCAGTAGGCGGCCGCGGCGGCCAGCTCCAGATTCGGTTCACTTTCACCGTGTCCAGCCGAGCGTGGCCGGCGCGCGGCGGCGGCGCCGGCGTCGCGTGCGATCAGTGCTCGGCCCGGCCCCGGCTCCGCCCGCGCCCCGCGCCCTTGTGCACGCTCGGCCGTGATCGCCGGCCGATCCTGAGCGTGTCGGCGTGTCCGTCTGAGCCGGCCAGTCCAGTGACCGCGCGGGCCCGAGCCGGCCACCGGCGGCCGCCGCCGACCCAGCCATGGGCAACGTCATCTCCTGCAGGAGGAAGGCCTCGCTGGTGGCGGCGAACCCCACGTGAGTCGGCGGCAGCGGGCCGGCGTCCGCTGACGCGGCGGATGCTAGTTTGCAGGTGGCCTCCCGTGCCAGCGGCGACCAGTGAGCAGGCGCAGACCCGGCGCTCCGCGTAGAAAGTCGGGTCTGATTGACGGGGGCAGTGTATCAGATCCGTGCCTGATCGCGCTCGTTCACCCCTGGAGTCGTGACGGGCTGGGGTGTGTCGGTGGCTCCCTGGAGCGCCTGCAGACCGGACGGGAGCCCTGATCTCGGCCACCGCCGCCGTGGTGCCGTGGTCCCGGTGGTCCGCAGCTGGGGCGGGGTGGGGTCCGGCCCTCTGGCGGCGTCTAGCATGCTCGCAGACAGCTGCTGAAAGGGAAGTGTCAGAAAGATGGGGCATTCTGGGCTTGGAACTGAGAGCCGTAATTACTTTCCTCGGATGTTTTCCGTTCATGATGGCGAGGACTTCTTCGTCACAAGTTTGAAGCTGCATGTTAGAGGAAAACAGGGATTTTAATAGTAAGGTGAATGCAACAGTGGAGACTCAAGCAGCGTGCAGTCAGTTCCACTGCTGCAATAGTCATACACCGCTGTTGGCATGACGCAGACCTGCACGGACGCCCTGCCTGCCAGGTGGGGCGCAGGAATCAGAAGCTTATAAGGCGATGGAACATTCCGCCTGCCAAGGATGATACTGGGGCCCGTCCTATTTAGACACTAAGCATCCAGCGCGACCAAACTGCGCAGCTGCAGTCTATGGGTTGGCGCTTCGCGTGCTGCGTTGTGGGCGCCGTCTCCGCCTGCAACCCCCCCCCCCCCCCTTCCCCACTCCCGTGCGGTCCCCCCACTGAGCGCGGCCTTCCTGCTTCCCTCAGGGCCGATATCGCTCTGATCGGGCTGGCCGTCATGGGCCAGAACATCATCCTCAACATGAACGACCACGGCTTCGTCGTGTGCGCCTACAACCGCACCGTCACCAAGGTGGACCAGTTCCTGCAGAACGAGGCCAAGGGCACCAACGTGGTCGGCGCGCACAGCATGCAGGAGATGGTCGCGTGCCTGAAGAAGCCCCGCCGCGTCATGATGCTGGTCAAAGGTGGGTCCTCGGCCGGCTGCGGCGGCCAGCTGCGGGTGATGGTGTGGGGACGCGGTGTAGAAAGCGTGCGGGAGGGTCACCAGCCGAAGGAAGCATCCAGCTGTGGGCACAGATATTTCTCATTATAGTTGTTTTCGTGTTTACCGTGTCTGGAATGTATGCTGTTTCGTTCCTGGCGAGCTGGTGTGTTCCGACACGTCAGGGGCTTGCGCTGCCCCGCGTGTGACGTCGTTCACACGATCAGGCCAGGAGCCATTCAGATCGGAAGTCGTGATGACGGCCGGGACCTGGCACTGAGTAGGCCGTCAGGTCGAGTGAATGTTCCAGAACCTTGCCCCGTACTGAACTCGTGACGTGCGGCCTTTGTGAGTGTGCAGTGTGTGTAATGAGTGATCGCATTTAATTACCCCAATCTTGTCGCTGTGAACAATGCACCTAAACTACAGCACGTCATAGTTGCTCTGTGTAGTTTTCCTCATTTTCCCTCTTGAATCTTGACTGATATCGATGAATTTGTACCGCTTAATTACCTACCAGAAAGAGCAGTCGTTTCCAAATCCTCTATCACCCTCATCCCTGCGAGTTTTGTAACGTGGCCGGCATCAGTTTCGAAACTACATAGCGGCGTTGTTTGACCGGCGGCGAATTGCGTTCTGGTTCGGCTCGCAGCGGGGTGTGGTCGCACAGCGGCTCACGGGTGCGGTGAACCGGACCGTCCGGCGTCCGGCGTCTGTCGTACCTCACCGGCGAGCGAGCCTTCGCTGTCAGCGCGTCCGGTTACCGCTGATTCCCATGAGCGGCCGGCGCAGTGCTGCGAGCCTGTGAGCATGCATGAATGTTGGATTAGGGACAGCGGGACTGCGCGTGTTTGTTGATGTGTTTGCTGCTTTGGCTGCTTGGTAGTCATGTTGTTAGGTACGTGAGGCGGGAACCAACGCAGAAGAGAATACGAAGGAAACTGACCCAAATCGGCCAATCAAGAGCGGCGATTATGGCGGCTCGCTTGATGGGAACCGAGGGAAAGTTTATTACCAGCCAGCAACGGAGGACTGAGTCACACCGGCGAACAGCGGGAGCCACTAAACATTCTCCGCCACACCGAGGCAGCGTGGCCGAGGTGTGTAGCGTATCTCTCTCTCTCTCCCTCTCACACCGTCTGCGCCCACGCGCTTACCAGCGCGTACAAAGCGCTGGCGGTGCCGGAGCCACGCGGACGTCGCTGAGCCGTCTGCCCGGCCGGCCGGCAGTCGACCCCCGCGCGGCACGCGGTCTCGCCCCGGCCGCTAACTGCCGGTGTTCCGCCCGGCAGCCGGGCTCACCGCAGTGCGCCGGCTTTCCACTTTCCCGGCCTGCCCCGGGCCTGGCGGCGCGGGTCGGTGGGCTCCCTCCCTTGCCCTCGCACTGCCCCCGGTCGCTGCGGAGGCGAACACTCTCCTGGTCAGAGGCGGCCCCCCACTCGCTGTCGCTGCCGTACGGACGGCCCTGTGGACAGAGGCGGAGCACTCTGCAGCGTCTCCTTGTCTCCGTGTCACAGCGGAGGCGACGGTGGTGTGGGGCGTCAATGTCTCTCTCCGATATTCTCCCTCCGTGCCTTCCTTGCACCTCCCTCTCATCTTTGCCGTCCCTTCCTTCCACCATCCTCTCTCCACTGTCTGTACCCCTTTCCTCTCGGGCATCTAGCACGAACGGCTAGGTGACACCCCTGGCCGATCCACGTCCATTGGGGGTGGCTTTCGCCGCATCTCTGCCCGCTTAGTGTGCCATCCAGTTCGGCGGCGCTGCCGTGCGCCCCGGCCGCGGTCGAGCGCCGTTCTGGCCCGCCGCCGCCGCCTCCGCCGTCAACAGCTGCGCGTCGTGTGGTCCCCGCCTGGCCATGCGTGGTGGCGCCGTGCACCGTTTGCTGCAGGCTTTCTCCTCATAACCGTGTGTGTAAATGGCGGACGGCGGGGCTGGGTGGCGGCCGTCGTCGCCCCGGCGTGCCGCGTGGCGGATGAGCAGCGGTGCTCGCGGTCGGTCGGGCTGGCTGGCTGCTGATGACGTGTCAGTGGGCCTGGACATCGGCGGATTCTGTTACGTTGTTTGCATGTTCTTGTCACATGTCTCTCCGCGTCTTCATTGAAGACGGTGAGAGTGGTTGTGGTTGGGACCGTTGTCAGGCCCAGTTACAATGTCTTTCCGTCAGAGGAGCGGGAGGGGCGTCTAGGCAGAACACGGCAGCCAGCGTACCGATCTCGGTCTCCGGTCGCACTGGCACCTCGGCAGCCCGCCCGAGGCTCCGTCCCGCTGCCATCCCCCGTCACTGCCGGTCCCCTCAGCGTCCGGTGGCGGGCGGCGCTGGCCGCGCGCCGGACGCGGTGAGGCCGGCGGAAGCTGGCCGGCCCGCCGCCGGCCTGATACCGACCCGCCGCCGGACGTCCTCAGAGCGGCGCGGCGCGCTCGCCGCCGTCACCTGGGCCGGGTCGGGGCGGGGGACCGGTCTCGGACGCGACACAGATGTGGGCGCCCTCCACGGCTCCGAGCGCGCCCCCGGCGGGGACGGCGCGCGGCGCGCAGTGCGGTTAAAGGGAGTGTTTCACATTTGTGTGGGGTCTTGGATCTGAAACAACCGTCTCGAAGATCATTCAGTTCAATTCACAGCCCTGCCCTGCATAAGACCCAAACTCCTCTAATTTCCGAGCCACACGCCCGCAAAGATGTACAGATATTTCGTGCGGACTATTTCAAGGCCACCCATGCAACCACGACGCCATAATAATGTTATTGAAATGTTGTTTTTCCATTGGACTTGCGGAGATCAAAGCTTATACTAATGCAGTTGTCGAGCCTTTCATACCTGGCGTTCGCTGAGCACGATTTCCACGTATAACGGCCGTCAATCGGCTCTCAATCAATGTTGTGCAAGGTACGATAACGCAATCGACTCATTGACGTATTGAAGAGCACATTTACTAAATTGAGACACCATATTGTCTAGAGCAGTCTTTTCCACTTCAAAGTATGCGATTAAGTTGTGAAGAGCTTGTCTGATCTTATCAACATGCTCTATTATTGCTTCAATATCTCCGAACGTGGAACATTCCCTTTTAAGTGGCGTGGGTATCGGTCGGGCTCCGACGGGCGGGTCTAAGGCGGCCGCTCACACGGCCAATCAGGCGGCTTTGTGTGCGCCGTCGACGAGCATTGTGAAGCTTGCGTCAGACTGAATGGGGAGCGCACGCCGCCGGTGAAATCGCCCATCACCGTGACATTCGGTTTCCCGTTGCGAGTGTCAACACCATCGCGCCACTGACCAGCTCTTGACGCGGTGCCAGTCGCCTTGTCACACACGTTCTGCGTTCCGATCTGGGAGCTGTGCCTCGCCTTGCGCTGCAAATCACCGACAATTAGAAGCCACGTGCGCCCTGTGTCGTGACGGCCTGTTGCGGCCAAACGGCTGCTGTCCGGGCCGGTGGGGGTCGTGACGGGGTTGTCACGCGCCGGGTGGCACGCGTCGCCTGCCGTGACTGGCCGGCTCCGTGCCACACCCCGGCCCGAGCGGGACGCACGTGGCCCTGTCACGCAGTCGTGTGACGACTGAACAAGCGAAGGCCAGGAGCGGCTTTTCAAGTCATGGTTTGCGGTGCAACGCCGTGAGATATTTCCAAACCTGTTCCCGGAGTTGATAAGGGCTGATGGAAATCCTACATTTTTGGGACTCCCCCTCTTCCCCAGTTTCAGAATCCTGGCCGCCACAGTCCCATGTTCCGCGTTATGACCGGACGGCGGCGACACCGTCCCGCCCCACGCCGCGCGCCGAGGCGCCTGGCCTGCCGCCTCCCCCGCCGCCGGCGCGCCGGTCATCTCGCCCCAGCTGTGCCGGCCAAGTGGCGGCCATCAGCGGGCGCGCGCGCCGGAGGCGGCGCCGCTATCGCCTCCGATACGGCGCCGCTCTGTCGGATGTCATGGTGCGTCAGCGGGTCGCGCCGGCCGATACGGCCGGGCGGCCCGCGGCCCGGCGCAGGACCGACCCGGGCGGCTGCTGACGTCTGTGGGTGTGGCGGAGTCTGGAGTCCGAAGTGGCGGAGTCTGGAGTCCGAAGTGGCGGAGTCTGGAGTCCGAAGTGGCGGAGTCGGGAGTCCGAAGTGGCGGAGTCTGGAGTCCGAAGTGGCGGAGTCTGGAGTCCGAAGTGGCGGAGTCTGGAGTCCGAAGTGGCGGAGTCTGGAGTCCGAAGTGGCGGAGTCTGGAGTCCGAAGTGGCGGAGTCTGGAGTCCGAAGTGGCGGAGTCTGGAGTCCGAAGTGGCGGAGTCTGGAGTCCGAAGTGGCGGAGTCTGGAGTCCGAAGTGGCGGAGTCTGGAGTCCGAAGTGGCGGAGTCTGGAGTCCGAAGTGGCGGAGTCTGGAGTCCGAAGTGGCGGAGTCTGGAGTCCGAAGTGGCGGAGTCTGGAGTCCGAAGTGGCGGAGTCTGGAGTCCGAAGTGGCGGGGTCTGGAGTCCGAAGTGGCGGAGTCTGGAGTCCGAAGTGGCGGAGTCTGGAGTCCGAAGTGGCGGAGTCCGAAGCCGGGCCTCGTCGTCACGGAGGAGTCCGGCGCCGCCGGCGAGCCGAGCTCGTGGTCCGCGCTGCCGGCTCGGTTACGGTCGATGCTTCGCACGGACGCGGATGTAAGCGAAGCCCCCGCCTGCGAACGGAGGCGCTGCGCCCGTGCTTCGCGGGCCGGCGGACGTCAAGTGGGCGACCGATTGGGCCGCAGGCTCGAATTCGATCTGAGGGGTTCCGTTGCTCTTTTCCATTCGGATGCCATCATCTTACGCCACTGATCTTCACTCGCAACAGGCAGCATCTACCTGTGCTCCCCACGCTAAGTACGTACTCAGCGTACTACCCGTGAAAACGGACAACTCCTCGCCGCGTTCTCAGCTCGTGCTCCCACGCCACGGCTGGCCGGCCGCCTTGCAGTCACCGTTGCTGACGTCGGGGAGAGAAATCCTTGGGTGACACGCCATTGTGAAACCCCCGACGCATGTTTGAGGAGCTCCGAATGTGCTGGCATGCGACGCCGGCGCCGGCGGTCAGCCGTGACCTTGACTGTGACCCCTGTGACCAGGCGGAAAAGGCGGCTGGGCCGCGGTCAGCGTCGGTTGCGGTGGGGTCGGCACGGCGATGATCAGCGGATTGCTGTGGCTGCAGCAAATATCTGGTCACGAAAGGATTACCGGACCGCTTTCTGAAGCGGGCAGCCGGCTTGTCAGTCCGTCCCGTCGCGGGCCGCAGCAGACCCTGACTCGGCACGTCTGCTGCGTCACCAGATCAGACTGCCAGACCAGACCAGACCAGTCTGATCAGGCTGCGGCTTCCAGACGGGCGCGGATTCCGCTCGGTAGTGGTGGGACGCTCTGAACCGCAAAGCGTCTCTGGGAGATCAGCTGTGTCCGGGAGTTGCGTAAAAGTGGAAAATGCGGTCGTCTTCGGGAGATAAATGCTGTGCAACTGTTCTCGAGAATCGTAGCACTAGAGTTCACTCTTGAGACGTTTATGCGGCGGAACTGTGTCAATATTTATGGGTTCACGGTGATTGTTTGCTGGAGGTGGGCCTGACTCTGCCGGGTCGGCCCGTCGCACTTTCTACAGAGTAGCCGCTGATCGCAGGTCATGCAGGCCTCATGGATCAGACATTGTCACTACGGATCGGTCGCCGTGTGGGTAAAATTATCAAATTACGGAAGTGTTACACACCTGTTGAAAATGAGTCGTGATGTCGATAGCCGGGCACCTCATCGACTCAGCACGCCGGTTTTCTCCATCCCCGGGCGTCGTCGCCGATCTCAGCCAGACAGCCGAGCCCGGGGGGCGGCGGCGGCGGCGGCGGCGGCCGAGGAGGCGCCGCCGCCGGTCGGGCCGTGCAGGCAGAGGTCGTGTGGAGGTCGGCGCCGGCGCCGGCTGCAGGAGGGCCGAGTCACGGCGGCTGGGGGTCGTGGCTGCGGCGGCGGCGGCGGTGGTGGGGGCGCCGGGCCATGCGACGCCCGCGCATGGCCGACCGCCGCCGCCACCGCGGCTGAATGGGGGGCGAGGTCAGGCCCGGGTTCGGGCTGACCTGGGACGGGGAAGGTGCTTGCTGACGGGTTACGGGCAGACGCCAGTGCGAACAAAACAGGCGATCGGAAGGTAATCGTGATTGCGGGTGCGAGATTCTGAACGTTTTCACAGATCACTTTAAATCCCCGTCCTGACACTAATCGCAAGTGTGCGGATGCCGAATGCGGCCAGCGTGCTGGAACTCAATAATATGCGGAGGATTACGTTGAGCTTGAACCTTCTACCGCACGAGCGGGTTAACATCCGCGAGCAGAAAGGTCATCGCAGTCATGATTCTGCAGAGCCTGCACTGCCACAAATCTCTAAACGCCAGGGAGATCAGACTGTTTATCGCAGACGACTTCAGATATGGACCAACCTGGCTGTGCTCTGCCAAGTCCCAGTAGCGTCAGCAAACACAGGCAACAAAAATGCGAGCCCAGACCGAGGACATCAGATGGTGATGCTTTCCTGTAGGTCGGCCCGTCATCCGTCCAAGCACTTCCGTCCTACAACATCCGTCGACGGTTTGTTGACGAATGCGGCGCGACGGCGTATACGGCTGACGATGAGGCCGCTGGCGGGCGTTTTGTGGGCGGGGCCTTTGATTATACATAAACGCAACAAACGAAAAAGCTGTCTTACACTCCTTTTCGTATAGGTGCCAACTTGACTGTCTGTGTGCTAATAATCGCTTGCCCCAAATCACGGCGCCGCAAATCACTTCCGCTCCGAAATTGGGTATTTAATTGCGATGCTCACGTAACGTCAGTCATGAATTTGCGCATGCGCCCCCTTGCCCTGGGCACCGTAATTGTAGGCGTTGGGTGAGCGCTGCATAACCAAGCAGGTAGAGAACTTGGGACCCGATTCATCACCATCTTGGCATCCCATCTCTGACACCATCGGCTAGTCGACCAGCCGTTGACCCGTAAACTGGCCAGCGCCAACCATCCTCGGCCGTCCAAACACCAGTGGCTTTCCTCATCTCGCCCTCACGCCACGTGCAGTCGTGATCCGTCACTCTTTCAGCCGCGGCCGGCCTGCGGTTTGGGCGCCTCGCCTGCAGCGCCCGCGTCCTATTGTGACCTCGTGCAACCGCGCCAGTGTCTTACCACCTGCGCGGCGGGTGGCGCCGTGGACGGATGTGCGCGTGCACTACACCCCAGTCGCAGTCGATTTGCTTCCGGCCGAAGCCGCGACGACATATTTTCTCCCCTCTCGATGGGCGTGACGCGTCATCGTCTCTCGTCCCGCAGCCAGTGACGCGCCTACCGTCTCCCGCCCCGCAGCCAGTGACGCGTCACCGTCTCCCGCCCCGCAGCCAGTGACGCGTCATCGTCTCCCGTCCCGCAGCCCGTGACGCGTCGCCGTCTCCCGTCCCGCTGCCAATGGCGCGCCACCGTCTCCTGTCCCGCAGCCAGAAGCTGGCTCATCGCGACTGTCCCCCCCCCCCCCCCCCGGTGACAACGTAACACCTCCCTGCCCCCGCAGCTGGCGACGCGGTGGACGCGTTCATCGACCAGCTGGTGCCGCTGCTGGAGAAGGGCGACATCATTATCGACGGCGGCAACTCGGAGTACCAGGACACGCGGCGGCGCTGCCAGAAGCTGGCCGGCCTGGGCCTCCTGTACGTCGGCTCGGGCGTCTCCGGAGGCGAGGAGGGCGCCCGCTACGGGCCCTCGCTCATGCCCGGCGGCCACCCGGACGCCTGGCCCCACATCAAGCCCATCTTCCAGGTGGGGTGGCTCGTGCTGACCCGGCTCACGCCGGGAACGCCTCGGTCTGTTTAGTGTTTCGGCGCTGCCGAGTCGTGGGAGAGATGCCTCACTGTGGTCCAGGATTGGCCCGCGTGCGGGTTGTACTGAATGTTTCTTGTTGCACGTTTGCGACACGAGGCGAACTGAAAACGGCCAAAGAAAACGCGAACACCTAAAATGCAGCGGCTTGCGGCTTCACGCATTCCAGCGCAGTGGGGCGTGACTCGCGGTCCGTGCGTGCCCCAGATGTGCCGACGTCGATGACTTGCGGCTTCAGAGCCGGCGTAACTCCCGGCCCGATGGTATAGGCAGCGCCCCCGCGCCGCACGGTCCGCCCGGCCGTCGCCACTGACCCCGCCTCCCCGGACAGAGCATCGCGGCCAAGTCCGGCTCGGAGCCCTGCTGCGACTGGGTGGGCGAGGACGGCGCCGGCCACTTCGTCAAGATGGTGCACAACGGCATCGAGTACGGCGACATGCAGCTCATCTGCGAGGCCTACCACCTGATGCGCGACTCGATCGGCATGTCGCATGACGAGATGAGCCAGGTGCGGATGCGGAGGAGGCGGAACTGGCGGAGGCCGGCGTACCGCCGGCTGAGGGGATCATGGTGTTGTCGCTTCTTGGTCGGTCGTGACACGTTTGGACTTGTTTGTTGGTGCCTGGAGAGATGTTGTATGAACCAGATCTGGGCAGGCTGTTGGTGTCCGACTGCCTGTCCCTTCGAAGCTGCGGCATCCCGGGTCGATGTGTACCTTTGAGCTCTTGGAGGACCAGGTTAGGGTGGGGGGAGGGGGGGGGGGGGGGGCGAGGGTCGCAGTTATCAACATGTGCGGTGCGCAGGCAAGCATGCTTAATACGAAATCTCATCATAATTACTCTAAACCAGTATTTTTTTTATTTCTTATATCCAGTTTCCCGGGAGAATGCATCGCATTATGATTATTCCCCGAAGCAGAGAGCGAAACTCCATAAATATGACTTTTGCATATTATTACCTTATATTGTGGATAGATCATATGAGTGCCCGACTATTTGGCCCACACAAACCAAAGCACAAACTGAAATTATCGGCATGTCACGCGTGCCTTTCGACTTCATTGCAGTGCGGACATTGTCACTGCTTTTGGCTGCCACATCAGATGTTTTGCCTCAGTTTGTGTGGTGCAAAGCAGTGCGTGCGGCAACTCGCCTTCCCGCCTGCCTGTTGGCGATACCTGGACGGCTACGTGTCGTGACTCAGACATCTTGTGGTCCCGTCGGAGTTCCCTCTGACGCTCTCGTATTCCCCACCTGCGGGGATTCCCCCGGGTGCGAACGCCAGTTCTGCGCGAGCCACTGCTCTGCCACAGCAGCCTGCACTCCCGGGTAGCGTCGGCCTCCATGCTGCGCACGATCCCTCGCGTTAATCCCGTATCTGCGGTAGCGAGCGCTGCTGCACGGGCCTGCTTCGGTGTCGGCCCTCCCCACTCCCCCCGATCAGCCCCCGTCATTGGTGATCAAGACCGGGCAGTCCCGCTGCCAGCCGCTGGCGGCCGGCAAAAGCGGCAGCCAAACCGGATCCCAGCACGCCAGCCACTCGTCTGATGATCATTTGCGCTAAACGGACGGCGGCCGGGATGAGTCATAGCGAGTGGTTTAGTGCTTAATGGAGGCCGCGAGGTGCATGTATGTGCAGCGAGAGGTTTCGTGTGCAATTCGCGAAGGCTGCGGCTGCGGGCTATTTCTGCTGTGCGCTGCACCGTGCCGTCCTATTTTGTTTTTCGTTATCTTCCAAGTGCAGGCGTGTGGTGATTACTGATTCAGTAAGTGCTATTGTCTGTAAAAATTACGCTTCCTTGTGCATGCGATGGCCAACGCTAGCATGAAAGACTGGAAGGCCTTTCAGTCGATAGCTGTTGTTCGTGCCGGATGGCGACACGGTAGCGACGCTGATAAATAGGAAATGTGCGCGGACCCTTTGTTGCCTATGCGTGGAGGACAGTTCATTGATTGTCAGCTGGCTGGAGCGATGCGAGGAGGCACGCTCCGCTACACTTAAACTGGGTGCTGGCGTTCAGGTGGGGGTTGCCGCAGATAGCTGAATCCTACCTGACGGACCGTCCAGAGTGCCGTGCGGTACCCCGCACCTGAACGCAGCTGTCCTGTGGGCAGGGCGGAGCGGGCGTCCGCCTGTTCGGAATCTCTGAGCAGGTTCTGTGCTGGCCAGTCTGCGGCACGGCATCGCGACCAGACGGGCATGACTCGCTGGCGTCCGGCCGGCTGTTCGTCATGGGTGCTGGCGTGGCCGCTAATGATGGTCATCATGCCCCAGACGGTGTGGGATAAATGCAAGAGTGGGGAGCCGGTTCATGGGCAAAAACCGCGGAGTCACTGCGCACTGTCCGGCATGGGGCGGTCGCCGTGTTCCCAAGGGATGCTGAGGCAGCATGATTGTGAAACGTGCTCGGACATGTGGCAGGCCTTCATGAGCTCTCCTGCGCCTGAGAACTTCAGAACCACCACGTCGTCACCCAATAGCGTGCAGTCGTCGGTGCTGATTGGCCAGCGCTCTGTCGTGGGCGACAGACGTGTGAAAAGGCTTGCATTACCCTCGCTACGTCTCGGGAAATGAAATGCGTCAGGACAGTCGTTTGCTTGGTTTCTGTAGATGCATTAGCAGCGTACAGTCTCAGGGTGGACCTCGTCCATAACGGGATGCAAACGAAACGAGGCCATGCAGCATGTCGTTGCGCTGGTGGATGGAGGAATTTGGCGGCGGTTGGAACGCAGTAAAGATTCCGGGGACCGCGGAGAAAATCCCATGTAGGGCTCGTCCTCTATACTATTGCGGAAGATGTGGTCATGGGCCCCATCAGCGTTATTATGTCATCGAATAAAAGCCGATTAATCCGTGAATGTGCGGATGCAAACGCTGTGCTACTGATGGCGCAGGCACCACGTTTGCGATAGGTTTGAAAGCATGCGTCACCCTCGTACGCCTGTCGCCATACGCTTTACCCCCCCCCCCCCACACGCAAAATGGCATGGATCATGCATCACGTCTCAATTTCCCATTCTCCGGACGCGGCCTGCGGATCGCGCCAGCCACGTGTCACCCCCCCCCCCTCCCCCTCAGACTTTACCGCCCGCCGCCGGCAGTGTTCACCGACTGGAACAGCGGCGAGCTCGACTCGTTCCTGATCGAGATCACTGCCAACATCCTCAAGTACCGCGACGCCGACGGCGCGCCGCTGCTCGAGAAGATCCGCGACGCCGCCGGCCAGAAGGGCACCGGCAAGTGGACGGCCATCTCGGCGCTCGAGTACGGCGTGCCCGTGACGCTGATCGGCGAGTCGGTGTTCGCGCGCTGCCTCTCCAGCCTGAAGGAGGAGCGCGTGACGGCGTCCAAGCAGCTGCGCGGCCCCGACACGGCCAAGTTCGACGGCGACCGCAAGAAGTTCGTCGAGCAGATCCGACAGGTGAGGGGAGGGGAGGGAGGAGGGGTCTCGGATGCGATGTTCGGGGAGGTCGGGCTGGCCGGTGTGAGGGGGTCGGGCTGACCGGCGTGAGGGGGTCGGGCCGGACGGCGTGAGGGAGGTCGGGCTGACGGCTTGGGGGGCGGGGGGTCGGGCCGGACGGCGTGAGGGGTCGGGCTGACCGGCGTGAGGGGAGTCGGGCCGGACGGCTTTTTGGGTCGTGGTCGGGATTTAAGCAAAAAAGGATGTGACCTTGAATGCGATTGTATTCAGCTATAATCCAAGAGTCTAGCATTCGGTACACGTCCCAGACGTCCCTCGGTGTATTTCCGCTTCGGTAAGCGGTATCTTTCGACTATTGGCTGGCATGTCAATTTAAATGCCAGACCAGCGACATCCAGGCAAAACCGATCCGTCGGGCCTGTTTTTATAATCGGAGCTGACCATTTGGACTGGACCGGGCAGCTCCGAGCCCAGCTCCGGACAGCGCCGGTCACCGGGCGGTGTGGTGTCTCGCCGCTCCCCCTGCCACGCGGCGCGGACGCCGGCCACAAAACACGGCGTCAGCGCCCGTCGCCGACTGTTGCCAAGCGGCGCGACACGGCGTATGGAAGCCTTGTGCCGGGCGGGAGCCGGGACGGGCGGTGGGCAGTTGGCTGACTGAGCACTCAGAGGGACAGCAGAACGGTGGCCTTGTGTGATCACTGGAGGGGGGGGGGACGAGTTCGGTGGTGCAAGTTAATCTGCTGGAAGCCGCAGTTGCGGACGTTTGTGTCGTGCCTTGTAACTTGACTGTGGACGAGAATGGCGGTCGTTTTCAGAGTTGGTTCCAGACATGCTGACCGGTCGTTGTGCGCCAGTGTCCTATGTGGGCTTCCCTGGAGCTAGTCTATGACTGCGCGAGCTCAGCCATACAAAATTAATACCCGCTTCTGCCCGGCGGGGGATTCCAACACAGGATAGGCTTGCGTACGGCTCGATGATCCGTCCTCATTTGTAGGGCTTAAAACAGGTTTTGTAGCTATCTCTGGCACCGACTATGCTTGAAAAGCCTTGAGGCCTGCTAGCCCAACGGCTGAGAAGTTTTGTACCCCACATGACGCAGGTGCCTTCGGCGCAGGCTCGCGGGGCTGTGTCGACTACTGGCTTGTTGCGGCAACGATCTTTATGAAATACCTGAGATGTTCAATCAAATTCTCACATGATTAGGACTTCATGGCGCTTCAAGCTTGATAACGATCTGGCGGCTGGGTCAAAATCGTAACCCGAATAGCTCTTCCATTGGGCAGAAGTGCTGTCCAAACAGTGATGATACAATATGACGCACAGCGTCCTGCAAGGCCTGCTCCAAAGCATACCATTTCCGTTTCAGATCACACGAGAAGCACGCCTTCCAGTTCCTGCGCGTGCTCTAACCCCGTTTTTGTGTCGTCCACAGGCGCTGTACGCGTCCAAGATCGTGTCGTACGCGCAGGGCTTCATGCTGATGCGTGACGCGGCCAAGGTGTTCAACTGGAAGCTCAACTACGGCGGCATCGCCCTGATGTGGCGAGGCGGCTGCATTATCCGGAGGTGACGCTGCGGCTAGGCTCAGAGGCCAATCACAGTCAAAGTGTCTTCCCATTCTTTTCATAGTGACGTCATATGTTTGCTAATGGCAGATGCTAAGCCGGATGGCGTATTCATATGTTCCGCTGATATTGTTGTGTGCCTGGGCTGATGACGCCTGTCGGACGCTCCTCAGCAACTTGTGGTACAGCACATGCACTTGTCGTCATTTTGCATGGCTGGATCATGCTGCATGCCGGATCATGCTGGTAGTCTGAGATACCCACGCTCGGCTGTCGTGGCTGCTGTCTAGGCAACAGGCCCCTGTCAGTCACACAGTGGCGACGCTCACTGTGCACCACGCCGAAACATTGTGAGGACCCTGTGAAAGCGTTCAGTCACGCTGTCTTATCAGATGAGGTGATAACACCGGGGTGTGCGGAGCAGTAGGCTCCGGTACAGGCACCTTCCGCCCTCTTCCCAGGGCGCGAGGCGCCCCTCCCTGAGGACATCCCTGCCCCACAGCGCCGCCCTCCCGCTGGTACCCTCGTCCAGCAGCACCACCCTTCCGATGGCGCCCTTGTCTCTCAGCGCCACTCTTCCACATGTGTCCATGCCCCACGGCACCACCCTTTGGACGGTGGCCCTGTCCCACAGCGTCGCCCTTCCGCTGGTGTCCGTGCCCCACGGCACTACCCTTTCGACGGTGGCCCTGTTCCACAGCGCCACTCTTCCGACAGTGCCCCTGCTTAACAGCGCCGCCCGTCTGCTGGTGCCCCTGCGCCATATCGCATAGTGTCATGTTCCTGATGGCACCCCTCTCGCAAGCGCTTGTCGCCGCCGCTGACGACCTCCCCTCCCGGTAGCGTGTTCCTGGGCAACATCAAGGAGGCGTTCGACAAGAACCCGAACCTGACCAACCTGCTGCTGGACGACTTCTTCCGCGAGGCGATCCACCGTTCGCAGGCGGCCTGGCGCGAGGTGGTGGCCACGGCCGTGCGGCTCGGCGTGCCCACGCCCTGCTTCAGCACGGCGCTCGCCTTCTACGACGGCTTCCGCTGCGAGCGCCTGCCGGCCAACCTGCTGCAGGCGCAGCGGGACTACTTCGGCGCGCACACGTACGAGCTGCTCGCGCAGCCGGGCAAGTTCGTGCACACCAACTGGACCGGCACCGGCGGCAACGTGTCGGCCTCCACCTATCAGGCCTAGTCGGGCCAGCGTCTCCTCTGCCGCGTGCGGCGCGCTCGCCGCCCCACGGACGCCGGTCCGTGCGCGGCCCGCGGCGGCCGTCAGCCTTCCTCACATTCCACGTGCACGACTCCGCGCGCTGTCCGACGCGTCCGCGGGCTTTCAGGCGGCGCGCGGCGCTTGTTTCGATCGGTTTTGGCGACTGTGGCGCCGGTGGCGTGTTTGGGGTTGCGGTCGTAGCTGTGCTGCCGGCGGCGTCAGTGGGCTAACCACGCTGCCAGGCGGACTGCGGCGCGAGAGTGCATTCATGACAATACTCCACTCTGGAGGTGGTCGGCGGCTGGCTGGTGGGCGGCGTATCTTGTCAGTGAGCTTTGGTTCGTGTCTCGTCCCCTTCTCCCCAACACAGGGTTCTTCCTCCAGGGAGCCCGCGCGTCTGCCGCCGCCGCCAGTGGTGCCTCGATAGCGGTGCAGTGCTGAGATGACGGTGCGTCGGTGGCGTGCGCGCGATGTCCGCAGGTTCAGCTGCCCTCTGGCAGTATTGTTGCATGGAGCCGAAGATTGTTGAATTTGGATATATTATATCAGGCGGCGAACAAAGAAATGAAGTGGCTATAAATGTGATGGGTCATCGAAGCAGTGAATAAACGCATGCGACAGCACTTATCACGTCGTTTTTTGTTGTCCTAGATTTTGCTTACTGCGCTGTGCTTAAGTATCAGGTGGAACGTGTGGGAAGGGAATGTGCGTGAACGGTGAGGAGCATACTGGAAGCAACATGACTCAAGCATTGTAGAGCTCCGGCCAGAAGAGAAAGAAACTACGAAGCGCGTCACAACACTGGGGTTCTTGACATCGCTTGATGTGTTATATTCATTTGCATCGCTCCCAATGCATACCCTTTTACCACATGTATTTGTATCCGTATAGTACGCGTTGCCTGCTTGACCTTTATTCACTTGTGTGTCCGTGTCAGTGCCACCCATCCCATTATTTTAAACGCGAGATACCTGGAGGACTGTTTCGCAATCAAGGTGAACCGCACCGTTTTCCGCTCACGTATTGCGCTTTGCGAGCCCAAAGCTGCCAATGAGCGTCCCATAAACTACGCGGACGGACCACAGAGCTGGTGACATCCGCAGAGATTTTAGACGATCGACACCTGGGTAGCGGTGTGGACGGCAGAGGATAAGCTTTTACTGCCTGCATTGCTGCTCTCCCTCCGCTCAACTGAACACAGGGAACGGAGGGAAAATAAATGAGCACATGGGCGCAGTCACAATTTCCTCACGGCGGGCGAGGCGGAGCTTATTTAGCACTCCAGCACGCGCTGCCCTCGCTGTCAGAAACTGCTTACTGCGCAGTAGGAAAACGTAAGGTCCGAGGGGTTGCTTTGTTCGTGCCCCCTGCTTACCCAGGCGTTTACTGCTTGATTTTTAGTAGCACCCAGATCAGGCGAGATGAAATCCATGGTGAGTGCTGCAACTGGGCACAAGCGGCCAGGTGAGGTCGCTCCACATATCCCCGCACTTCTGAAACCACTCCATGTTGCCAATGCCATCTCAGACGGATCGAGCACCCATTAGCTGTTTTACAAATAAGACAGCAGTATTAGCCTTATTCCTCGGAAAAGACCAGACTAGAAACGTTAGGTTGATATTACGGCAACATGCCTTTCTCGAAACAATAGCAGAAGTGACTTCTGCTTTTGTTTCGAGAGGCATGTTGCCGAAATATCAACCTAACTATATCTCTAGTTTTTCCGAGGAATAAAGCTAATACTACTGTCTTACCTACGTGACTAATGTTACTCGCTAATGCACTGAACTCACGTGATTAGCCTTTTATCATGTATTTCGTAAAGAGGTCGTGAAATGAGTTCTGCACCATGCGTCACGTCAAGGCAAATACTGCCACTGAGCGCCCCAGCACAACCCACAGGCTGCACGGTCCATGTCTCCCCGCTCCACGCCTCCAATGTCCCCCTCGCGGACACGAGCAGTGAAACAGGCAGAACCAGTGTAAGACTGTCAGTGCCGCAAGGCTGGCGGAAATCCGATCGGCACAGCAAATCATAAACCATTAAAATGCCAATATTTGAAACGCACATGAGCAACTTGTAGATCTAAGACAAAACGACACCCGTCGGCGCAGCTCAGAGATCAAACGTGCACACGCACTGAGGCAGGTACAACTCAAACATTGACACGAAAAAAGCACACGCCAAGCACACAACCTCTGACCCCTAATACCGACGGGACGACGCTAGGTACACGTCTCAGGCGATCGCCGTCGAGCCCCGACGCCCACCGGTAGGCTGCTCGACAGTCTGGGCGTCCTGAGCAAACGTTCGTCGCGCAGCACGCACCGGGCGCGGAAGACAGCGTGGCGAGCGGCCGCGGCCAGGCGCCGAGGAAAGCCGGCTACAACTGGACCCGAGGCTGTGACATGACCAAGGGGTGGGACGGAAGACTACACAAGCGTACTGCATACGCGAAAGCGGCAAACGGCAAGTTCGTGATGGTCAAACTGTAAAATGGACAGGGAGAGCCCATGATCGTAAGCGTGCCACTGTGGTGCTCATATCCATGTGCCACAAATGAGCCCATGATGGTAAGTGCCCTACCCAATATACGGTAGAGCGGAAGCATCGGAAGCACGTGGAAGCAAAATTGGCCCATGCAACGTGACGTGGCCACGGCGAGCCAATCGACAACATAGTTCTCCTGGGCCGGAGGTCGACTCTAGAAGTCAGCGTCCAGTGTGAACTGCCGCGATCCGGCGCTGGAGATGCTGTCCATGACGCCGGCCTTCTGGTACTCGCCGACGCGCTTCTCGAAGAAGTTGGTCTTGCCCTCCAGCGAAATGTGTTCCATGAAGTCGAACGGGTTCTCCACGTTGTAGATCTGCATGGAAGCGAACATGAATTAGCGACCGATCTGGGAGCGCGGGGCCTGACACAAAACATCCTTGAACCACTGCGGGCTGTGCTCGGAATGTTCGTGGCTTTTCAAAGTATTTAGTCCCAACATTTTAAATGGATACAATTCTGGGATCATAGCTCACGCTACGCAGGGCTTGTTGCGCGAGCCCCGACTCCCACCATCCAATCGTGAAATTTCAAGCCATCGGCAGAACTTAGCGGCGAAAGTTCAACGTCCCGCAATCCTCGCTAACGTCACTTCTTTCCACTGACGTCATTTGACGCCCCCCGCCCCGCCGGCCGCAACCATCCCATTCAATGCAAATAGAGAGCAACAGAAGCGACCCGAGCCCATTCCACCACGGTTCGGTGGATCGGAAGGCACGTACCCTAACCAACTGAGCTATTTGGACGGAGGAGAAACTGTAAATGAAATTATTTGTCGACGGTACTCAGTCGGCATCAATGTGAACAAGTATTGACTACGATGGGCCTCAGGACAGTGATGAAATAATGACTCATACCGACGGCCGCGTCTGCCGCCTGTCGTTACGAATTTCTGCTTGAGCATGCGGTTTCGGACTGCGGTTAAGTCCAATGCCCAAGTGTTGCCTCCACATTCTAAGAACATCGTTTTGAATATGTAGACGGCGTGGTTCCTTTCGAATACTTTTTGAGCATGTTCGCTGCACGAGAAAATACAGCAGGCAAACGGTACATAACGCACTAGCTCAAACGGAATTTTCCACGCCACGGAGGCACGGTGTGGTTTCCGGTCCACAAACGACAGGAAAATCCGACCACAGCGCTGCAAGGGACATGTGGCCGGGAGGGGGTTGGGGGAGGGGACGCAGGCGGGAGATACTGGACAGCCGGCGGCGGTTGTAGCATCACCCGCCTGGCGCGCCAAATGCCGCTCACTCGCAGCGGCCGGCGGGGAGGTCAGGTGTTTTCCCTGGCAGCGCACCGGGCCGACCGGTGGCCGCAAAAGAGGAAACGGCAATCACGACCTTTAGCCAGCCAATCGTGCAGCGCCACTGCAAACTCGCGCGCATTTTGTACTGACGAGTCAGCAGGCGACAGGTTTGAAAAGCCCATTGCGCGCCTGAAATGAGTCATTGGGGCAGACATGCTGCGACGAGTTGAGCGCCGCCGCCGCGACGGCATTCTCTTTCATTGGCACGGCAGACCGGACTCGAAAACGACAAAAGTGGAGCACGAAACGACCTTTGATGACCCCAGATAATGGCTAGCAGTGGTGAAAACAAATTGGGAAGGGGTGGGAGGGAAATGGAACCCATTTGCATCAGTAAAAACACGGCACATGGGAAATAACAGCAATTCCAGACTGGTGAATGGTGCCATCGCGATACTATTTGGGGGCTAAATACTATAGCAACCCGGTGCGAGTGTTTTCTGGCTGGGGCGCACGGTACGGACCTTCGAGCAGCCGAGCTCGAGAAGCAGGCGGTCGGCCACAAACTCTATGTACTGCCGCATGAGTGTGCAGTTCATGCCGATCATGGCGACAGGCAGCGCGCTGGTGAGGAACTCCTGCTCGATGGCCACGGCCTCGCGCACGATCTGCGTCACGCGCTCTGGCGACGGCTTGTGCACCAGGTGTTTGAACATGAGGCATGCGAAGTCGCAGTGCAGGCCCTGCCGAGACGAGGAACAAGCATGAGATAATGCTGAAACCACGGGAAAAAGCACGAGTGCAAGTTGTTTGGGTGCATTCCTCCAGAACATCCGTTTTGGCATGTGGTGGTCAGAAAAAAGTAACATTTAACGAAAGGGAAAAAATACATTAAATTACAGGAACACAGAACTAATGTATGGTGCAAATCTACATTTCCTTCCACAGCGTCGAGCATAACCCGCTTCGAACAGCACCGTAATATGTCCCTGTCTCACTGGTGTATCAAAAATATACCAACTTGTGAGATCAATGCCTATTTTCATGCACAGCAGGTAGCCAAGGCAATTTGAAGTGTCACTGGCATATCTCCCTGAGTCATGGCACAACTCTGCCATCCAAAGGTAAAATCCCATGTGCTTATTTCTAGCCGTTTTGCGTTTTTACGTCATCTGACTCGTCTTCGCATGCTGCATTCGGATATGCAAACCAAAAGTTGAAATTTTCACAAACTTTTAGCTAAAAGAATGGGCTAATAAAACTCTGTAAAAAATTTCGACTGATCGTGTAAATAACCAGTCAGCGCGAGTAGACGAATCAGATGACATAAAGCGCAAAATAGCGAAAAATTAACATGTGTGGTTTTACCTTTGGATGGTAAAACTGATGTCTCGGCATTTGATGCAATGGCGCGCGGCCGACTAGAAGCTAGCGCGACATTGTAGGAGACTTGATGCTTCGGTGAACCAAGCATCACCAAACAGCCATCGTCGACCAGTGACCTCACAGCTTGCCTCCTAATAGCCTCCGAAGTCGCTGTAGTGTAGCAAGTAGTAGCAAGTAGCACATGGCAGAGCTGGATGGCCCGAGCTCTGCCATGTCACCGGCGGAACACGTACCTCGTCACGCGAGATCAACTCGTTGCTGAAGGTCAGGCCCGGCATCAAACCGCGCTTCTTCAACCAGAAGATTGCCGCGAAGCTGCCGGAGAAGAAGATGCCCTCCACGGAAGCGAAGGCCACCACACGCTCGCCGAAGCCAGCCGTCTCGTGCGCGATCCAGTTGAGCGCCCAATCAGCCTTTTTCTTCACACACGGCAACGTCTCGATGGCGTTGAACAAGTGGTCCCTAGAATCGAAGGGGGGTTGGCTGAGCGATGCCAGACACCAGCACAGCCGTCTAGACGTCAACAGGCATTAATGCTACAGCGAACAATAAAAAGTCCATGATCATGGCACCTGGAACACTGGCAACTTAAGCACCCATCACGCAAGCCACTTCTACACATCCAGCCACAAGGCAGTGCACTGACAAAAATTATTATTTGCCGGCCCTTCACACGTCCTGTCATCCAACCAATGGCTAACTCAGTGACACGTTAGTGGACCCTCCCCCACCCCCCACCCCCCAACCAGCACCAACTGACATGTCAACCAACCTTTCAGAGGGCTCCTTGACATAGGTGTCGATCAGCAAGCTATACATCTCCGAGTGAACGTTCTCCATGGCGATCTGGAAGCCATAGAAGAACCGGGCCTCTGGCACCTGCACTTCTGTGCTGAACCGTTCCACCAGATTCTCATTGACGATGCCATCCGATGCGGCAAAGAACGCCAGCACGTGTTTGATGAAGTAGCGTTCATCGTCCTTCAGGCTCTCCCAGTCAGCCAGGTCCTTGGACAAATCCACCTGACACCATATGGTAGCGTTATGGCATGACATGAATACTGTCAATGATAGTTAACATTTACAACTTTTTTTGCATTTTGTCACTTTCTCCCACTCACATTTTCAAGTGAACATTGTACACGTAACTAAGTGACCACAGAGAACATCTAAAGCGGACAATGCTAAGACGTGGGGAAAACCAAAGGCATGAAACTAATCACAATCCAGCGCACGCAAGTTTTGGGCTAAGCTGGTGATTTGCAGTCAATGCATTATTTTTTTGCATGACTTACCTTTAACTTCTGCTGCAATCTATATCAGATATTTGAAATTATCACTTCTACCATAATCTATATAAGATGTTCAACAATGTTTTGAAGAGCTTAAAAAAGTTAGCCCTGTGCACTGGTCATCACCTCTTCTGCTGTCCAGAATGAAGCTTCAGCTTTCTTGTACATCTTCCAAATGTCTGGGTATTTGATTGGGAAAATCACAAACCGGTTTGGGTTTTCTCTCAGGAGAGGCTCGTCCTCCACATTGGCTGATGCTTGGGCTACAGGCTTCACAGGAGCCTGAAACATGAACAAAAACTTTAGCTGCAAGTGATCTGAAACCCTTCTAAACCTAGCATGGTAACTGACCAAAACTGACTGCAATGATTCTGACATGATATTGTGCTTGAACTACATCAGAGGTTTTGCAGGACCAAGCTGTAATTAAGTAACTTTGTCACATGCATTTATAGCAGTTAATTACTTCTAATATGCTCCTAATGTGTTTTTCATCATCCAAACAGGGCCCTGAATGAAACGGGGGAATGTTGAATCTGATTAGATATGTATGTTTCAAAACGTAACTGCAAAGCTAGGGGGCTTGCTAAACAAGGCTGCTGCCAAGACCTCTTAATCCAAAAACGATGGTCATGAAACTTCTAGAAACTCATCAAATCCCCAGAATTTAAGTAAATGCTTACAAAAAAAACTTACAGTAATAGCCTCCTTTGCAGAACTCTGGATCTGTGGAGCAGGTGCCTGCAAAGAAAGCTGGACTGAAATATACAGATGACAATGTCTCAAACTATTTAACAGGATTGCACAATGAAATTTGGCAGGCATATGAAGTCAACAATCCAACTGCCTGTGGAGCAGGTGCTAACTTGCAAAAGCAAAACACAAAAAAACAATGAACAAGTCCAACCTCAAATCCTCCCATGAGGACTTCATAAATTTATAAATGGATGATTATCAGACCAGGGATAAAGAAAAGCATTGCCTTCCAGAATGGAGTACAATATTGTGTGCACCCCGCAGAATACATTACAAGATATAATGCACAATACTCTTTTCCTGATCTTTAGCTGGTCAACTCCATTTATGACTTGACAGTGCAGTTTTAGCTCCCATTGCCCTAATAATTTCATCAAAGATGCAATACAATGGGGGTGCAAGTCTTTGCATGTCTAGCTTGACAGTCATTGTATGGAGCAAAAAGCTTATACCTACTGATAAGAGTAACCAGCAGATATCCATTATTCTGCCATAACTACCTAAATTAAGCCTCATTCATGCAAGGCTAGCTTACTGAAGATGACATCAATGGAGATCTCCTCAATGCAGCTATGCCACCATTGCATGTGGGTGCATACCACTATTTGTAGCCTGTAAGCTGTGCAATATAAGGGAAATTATTTTGTTTTCCCAAATCTTTGTTTTATTCACTGATATAAATAAAAGCACATCTCACATCTTTTGATATCAAAGCACCCATTAACATCAAAATTTCAGGATGACTTCTGGCTTACTTACCTACCATCACATGCCAATGCAGAAGAAGAATTCAGCGAGCAACAAAGGCACGCTAACAAGTACCTACCTGGTTTTCCTTTGACTCTTCAGATGAGATAGCCAGCTCTGCAAGCATGCTTCTTACAGTGGGAGCCATTTTAGCAGCCCAGTGCGGAGACCCTTGAAAGCTGATATTCTACTGGCGATCGCCGGACGTCGCTGAACGAACACGTGCAGCCCCTCAAGCCAAGCCGTCGCTAGTGGCACAAAACTGATGATCGCTGGTGGACGATCACCGACGGACCCGCCGTTGAAAAAGGCGCGCAATTCCGCTCGAGCTCTAGGACTCTGCTGAGTGGCTCTCGAGTATCAGCCTTCCCGCCAAATTGGGAACCTACAATGTGATTGGTCTGTTTCAATTCTGCTCGCAGTACATTGGACAACACGAGAGATGAGGCGTGTCCAAACATGCACCCCATGTTACATAATCATTTACGTAATATGCTGAGGCCGGTGGCGCATTTCAGGAGGGTTACAAGAAACTACGGTAGGTCGAAGCGAAAAAATCGAGCGAAAATATTTCAGAGATGAGCGTTGATTAAGATGAATCTCGACTAAAAAAACCGGAAAAACAAGGCAAAAGGCATAACATCGCCAGGGTTAAAATTGAATCCAAAAAGGATGTCAGGAATGGAAGTGGAATCGGGAAAGATCGTAGAGCAAAAATTCAGTGGAGAAAAATAGGCAAGGATGCCAGTCAAATCGCAAAAAGTCGCAATGACACACATTGGACCGTGGTTAGATTAAACACACAAAGCGCTCGACAGGGTTCAACTCGAATCGGAAAAGTTGAAAAGCGTACAGTCGACAGTCATAAAAAAGATTGAAAGGCAACATAACGAACACAATATTGAAACAATGGATTGACGTCGATTGTGATAGCAGCAAGCAAGCGATAAGGTAGCCGAGGGCATTTCAGATAGAAGAGCCTGGATGATTTGACGCCTGGTATGAGAGCGGATGACGCCGACCGCATTTGGATGTGCCGGCGAATTCAATGGATTTCGCTACCTCCCAACCCGGTGTCCTCTAATTTGGGCCCGTCTGTACTCACGCGGCTAAGGCTCTTGGCGGAAAGTTAGCTATCGAGCCTTAACGACCGAACCACAAAGAACGCGCCTCGAGGCTATGAGGTAGCCAATCTGCTATGCGTTCGCGGCTAGCGGATCTATGTCCATCAAAACTTCCATCTAGCCATTTTCTGGGACGGTTGCGGGCAACAGCCACCTTCATGATGCGGCGCAGAGCTGCCGCGCTTGCCGCAATTTTTTCTTTCGTAAGTGCCGGCGTTGGACAGAACAGCGCCTGGTTCCTTATGTTGGCTCCCGGTTATCACCTCCCTCCTCTAAACACGAGATCTTAGATCCCTGTCTTCAGTTGGTGTTTTCATAAACCTCCATTCCGTGATTCCTGGATCTTTTGGGTTATTTTGCAAACAGCACCCTGGTTCCTGCAATATCCTTGCTGGCTGATTCTGAAATAAAATACAAATTTCTGGTTTTCACCGGTTGCACAAAAAATACCTAAGCCTAGTTTTTGGCTCACATCGGCTTTTTTCAAATGGCGCACCACAAGCAGCACTTCTTTAAAATTGGTTGGGGGGGGGGGGGGGGTCAGCCGATAGGGTTCACTCGATCTATCCCCAAAACCTGATCTCTTCTCGGATTTGGCCTCCCAACACGCGCTAGGATGGGGTCAAATTGATCCCTCCCAGGAAGATTTTTCTGGAATGGTTTCCGAACGGCGCGACGGAGCCCTTGCAAATTATTCACAACTAAACAATTGCAGCCGATCTCGTTTGTTACCAAAAATTTAGATAAACTCTGTAAGGCTGCTGACCTGTGGCAGGTCAAAGTCAAGTCATGTATTCAGCTAAGTTAATTTCAAGGGATTCGCGCAGTCTGATGCAGCAATGGAGTGTCAGACGAAGCCATATATCACTGAAATGCTTTCCTAGGCAACACAACAATTGAATGAACAAATCCCATTGACCTAGGGTCAGGTATGCAAGCAAGACCAAGGTCAAAACCATCCTGTTTTGTACAATTCTGGTCCCCATGACCTTCAAAAGGTCGAACAAGGTCACTGACCTTGAATGAGCACATAATCTCTTGCTTAAAAGAAGTATGTGGTCTCTTGGGGCACTTTGGAGACCATTCCTGAGTTAGACCTTGTTGAATCTTATTTAACCCGAAGTGCATGATTTAGCAACCTCAAGCTTTGACTTAAGTGACTTCACGCACATGCCAACACTCTGTGAATTTGGTGTCTCTAGCCACCTTAGTTCCTGAGATCTCAGGAGTGTCAAATTGACCTCCCACAGGAGTGAAGGGTATCTAACCGGCCGCCGGGTGCGTGTTAGAGCCTTTCAGCAAGCCTGGAAGCACGTTTGGGCCATTCCGCTATTTATTGACACCAACATCCGAACAATTCTAACATTATTTAAAATACAACACTAGGCAACGCTGTAGGACACAGTATCACCAATGTCCGCCGTCATCATATCACAAACATAATCGCATCACACGTATCCCATGTTCCCGACCACACCCTCTCCCTCAATGTCAGTTTTATTACTGGAGCTGGCCTTCCCTCCCCTCCCCCCCCCCCCATTTCTCTTCACCCATCGCCACAACGTCCTGTTGACCTAGTGCTCTCCTTTTGTCTTTCCTCGTTTTTTAGCGCCACACTTTGTTCCGGCCGTTTTTAGCTCGGAATCTCGCCATTTTGCTCTAAAATATTTCATTTTGTTATTTGCATGTGCAAGGAACTATTCGTTTTCTGAGGAACGGCTTGAATCTTCCTTTGGACTCGAATAAGATGGTTTCACACCACGGTCGGATAGTCTGCACGTTCGATATATTGTTTAAGTAATACGTCAAGTTGCATGCATGTCAATCGTTGATAGTTCCGAAAAAACAGCTGGCATGCGATGGCTGGACTTGACAATCAATTAGTGAAATCCAAGTGCACATACTTGCCATTCTGATTGACATTCGTACAAGGAGTGAGACATTGTATTCGTTGCATTACACTAAAGGCGCACTGGGCCGCCTTGTGCCTTCCTGACACACAGCAAAAAGTCTAGTAGACAAGCATCGATGAGGATCCTAATCAGAAAATAATGGAGCTTTGTGAATTTCGTGTAACAATGCGAAATTTTAAATGTTGCCGTCCAGGTTTCCATACAACATTATTTTCTCACCCAAACTCGATATGGCCTTTATATGGCCTCGATATGGTTTCGAACAGTTCTGAAAATACGTCAAATTGTGGGGCAGCGGGGTTACATTGCCCGTCACCGACAGCGAGGTTACATCGCCCTTCGTTTCTCAGTGCAGTACGTATGAGTGTAACAACGGCTGCGGTCATCTGACTAAAACGTCTAGAACACCAAACTTGCGTGTTTTCCATCGGCATTTTGCGTGCAACGTTCGCGTGTTCAGTCAGAAACCTTCCATATATCATGAGGCTCTCGGCAAATGACATCATAGTTCCAACCAACGCTTGTATTGCTGTGCTGGTATCGCCGGGGTGCCGTCCCGCGACGGGACCACCGGGGCACCGAACTGTGCCAGCGCTTCCGGGCTGCTTTGCTGCTCACGCTCCACATGCCGTTATACACCTTCCTCCGCTGGCTAGTCTCGAATCACTTCGCTGTGATGGAAGAGTTCTGGGGTTTCTATGACACGGTCAGGGTTAGCACAATGGACATTGGCCTGAAAGCTACTCGTGACGTTTTCCGGATTCTGAAGCACGACCTTGCAGGCTTGCGATAACAGACCACCGGGCTTTTCCCAACTGGTTGCCTGAATTGTCAGCTATCACATATTTTTTCATATTTGTGTAAAGTCCTCATCCAGATTTGCATTTTGGAAAGCCAACTTACGCCTGATTTTTTTTTGGAAGCTGCTCCTTCCTGCAGGAAAATACCATCGGCCCGAATAAAATCAGCGAACAAGTTGACTCCACCTGACTACATGCCATTTGTAAAAACTGATACGTGAACTATACGAATGCCCGTATTAAGCCATAATATTTTATTTTGGACTTTCTCTTTTGCTAGTCCAAATATTATGAGCTTCTGCACCTAACTTAAAATGTAATTATCAAACTGTGATATCCGCAAATCAAAAACTTCCCTTCAGATCAGGCATGCCGCCATTAAATCTGTATATCTGTTATTTCCTCATGACGGTATGATATTTGGCACTAAGCAGAGTCAGTGATGACTTGCACACATCTGATTTATTTCATCTGCAACCCATCTGCAACGAATTATAGGAGAACTCTACATCTTCTGGCTTCAAACCACCATACCCTTTACTTCGCATAAATGAAAATTAAGGTTGCGATGCTTGGAAATGAGGGTGTTTGGTGCCCCTTCGTGGAATGGAACCATCCAGAACTTTGTCATGGTGGAGGGTGCAGAAATTGTTGTCCCCTGGAATTTGGCCCCATTTGAAAACAAAGATTTTGGAAGCCTTTAAATAACCCTCTTGATTTCGCTGCCTCTTGAAAATAAATCATGCGCACTGTGTCACTTCAGAAGTGGCATAAGCGTTTAGATCAGTAGCAAACCAACATATAGACATTATGAAGAGCTCCTATCCAAGCCAGAAATGTGCTACTTTTTTATCTGACGACGTGTCACGTACCCATTTATCACATGTCATGAAATGCCTTGACTGTGAATGCCATCGCTCCGGTTACCATCCGCTTGGCTAGCGGTCATTCGCCCCGAAAGTTTTCGCATAATTTCTGAACGGTGCAGCGTAGCCGTGCCGAACGGTGCATAAATGAACGCGTTTGGATAGCTGATCTTTTGGTTAAAAATTAGACGTACCCTGTAAGGCCGCTGAGCTATGGCAGGTCAAAATCAGGAAATTGTTTGGGATGAATGTTTGGGGATCGTTCAGTCTCATACGACAACGGAGTATTAGACGAAGCCATACACATTTGAAATGGTTTCTAAGACAAACACTCAATTGAATGCATCACTTATTCAGGCTACCTCCATTGTTCTGGGTCCGATAATAAAGCCAAAGCCAGGTCAAAACCAGATTACCTTTCACTAGAGGTCTTGCTTTATGCGGTCATTTTTGACGCTTATTTCGAATTTCTTGATCACAGGGACGTCAAAAGACTTTCTTATTTCATGAATGCCAGATAAGCTCACTGTCCTTACAGGACCGCGATCAGCCTTTTGTTTTTG